CTGCAAACTCCACCTCCCGGGTTCACGCCATTCTCCTGCCTCAGCCTCCCGAGTAGCTGGGACTACAGGCGCCCGCCGCCTCGCCCGGCTAATTTTTTGCATTTTTTTTTAGTAGAGATGGGGTTTCACCGTGTTAGCCAGGATGGTCTCGATCTCCTGACCTCGTGATCCGCCCGCCTCGGCCTCCCAAAGTGCTGGGATTACAGGCGTGAGCCACCGCGCCCGGCTGTTGCAACATTATTTATGATAGAAAATGACTGAAAATAACTTAAAAGCTTTTAATAGGGAACTAGGTATAGTACAACAAAATAGATTATGCAGCTGACACAAAAAGGAGGCAGTTCTTAATGCAGTGGCATGGTATGTTAAGTAAAAAGCAAGAGACAGAGCAGTATAGACAGTATGTTAACATATAGAAACAAAGAATAAACCTACTTAGATTCTTAATAGATGCACAGAATACTTCTGGATGCTTAAGGCAACAATGATAATGGTTATCACTGAATGGGGTAAAACAGGAATGAGAAACGTGATGAGATTTGTAACCACTTTTGTACCTTTCAAAAAAAATGTTCAGTATCCATTCAAAACCAAATTTTTATTAAAAATAAACTCCTCGTCTTACACCACAAGGCACAGACTAAAAAAAATTTTAAACTCTCTACCAAAAATACCAAAAGAAGCAAACCAACTATTCTCTCAAGTTTCAAGCTTAAAATTTCAGGAATGCTTATACAATCATTAACTTTAGCTGAGAAATCTCTAGAAAAATCTCATAAAACAAATTTTTCATGAAATGGGGTCTTGAGATACCCCCAAAGTCGAATTAGCATCTTCAAACAGAAAAATAGCTTCAGGCTCCTCCCAAATAACCTCATGCGGGGGAACACTGTGGCCCATTCAAGTCTGGTGTGTTATCAGCCCAAACCACTTCACTCTCTCTGCAAGCCACCAAGGTGCCAGGCAAATCATCCAGATTTACTTTTCCAGGCACTTTAGTTTCATCTTTGGAATGTTGCTAGTTAACCTACTTCTATTTAACCTCAGTCTGTGAGGATCCTGAGTCTCAAGTGGCGATAATCCTATGCCTATCAGGTGTTTGGATAATTCTGTAGATCTTTGGTGAAGTCTCTGAAATAATGTCTGATGGCAATAGCAGAGGAACGTCATTCTCCCACACATAGCTTTTTTACTAGGGGGAAGGTTCTCAAGGGGGAAAAAATAGAATATAGCTTTTTTTTTTTTTAAATAAAATATGGAACACTTCACTAATTTGTGTGGTCATCCATGCTCAGGGCCATGATAATCTTCTCTGTATCATTCCAATTTTTAGTATATATGCTGCTGAAGTGAGCACGATGTCCAAACTTGGTATTTTATAACCTTGCTGTTGGGCCACAAATCTTAAGAACACAGTAGGTTTCTTTATGCAATGAAGGATTTTGGTCTACCAATCCATTTTTAATAAGCACTATCTACATGGTAGAACTGGCTCAAGTATTTTACTAATGTTAGTAACTTTTGGCATGGATTTATATATTCACATATAAAGATCTATTATTAAAATAATATTTAGGTATTTGGGGAAATTGGTTTAAAAAATACATTTTTCATAGTGAGGCCCCATCTCTAAAAAAAAAAAAATTAATTAACCAGGTATGGTGGGCCACACTAGTCCCACCTACTCAGAAGGCAAGAGGATCACTTGGGCCCCAGAGTTCAAGGCTGCACTGAGCTATGATGGTGCCACTGCACTCCAGAGCCTGGGCAACAGAGCAAGACCCTGTCTCTTAAAAAAAAAAAAAAAAATCCTATGTATGGATGAGGAGTGGTAAATCTTCCCACCCCTTTCCCTCAGCCTCCCAGTTTCCCTTCCCTCAGATGTCATTACTATTTACATATTCTTTGAGATATTTTATGAATCTGCAAAGACCTTTTCTGTTTTTACTGTATGCTTTAATCCAGGTTTAAAAAGCTCCCATTTCTTCACTTTTATGCAGTGTCATCCCATAAACTGACTATGACACTGGCTGTGATGGTGCTGCCATGGCTAGAGACAATTGAAGAGCTCAACATCTACAGTGCTTGGAAGAGTCTCAAGCCCACAGGGAAGAATTACTTTCCCAAAATAATAAATTATTCTAAAATGCATTAATGAGAACTCTTGATCCATCAATATTTTGAGAATAACAATCTTCTGCCTTATCTGAAAGTACATTCACACTGCATCACAGTGATTCTTAACTTCCTGCAGGGTGGAGGAGAGCCTAAAACTGCCTTTGAGAAACTAAGGAAAACTTACTGGAAAACACACACACACACACACACACACACACACACACACACTCCTATACACTCCCAGTAGACCACAGACATGGTTGCCTATGGACATCAGGTTATTAATACCTAATCACCCTAACAAGCCAAGATCAAGACATCTGCTGAAGAGGTTGTAACAAGGTAAGTACAAGAACAGAAGAGATGATAGCATAATCAATTAGATGTTAGGAAAAGTTCATTAATTGCTTGTCTGAAAAAAAAAATGAGTAGATGGCTGCTGAAACACTCATTTTAAATCTTAAGGTAAAATTATTTGAGAATCTGATTATGTAAAACTCAATGACTGGTGAAGCTAAATACAAAACAAAATAACATATGCTCTCTGAATTTCATCCAGATAAATGACTGCTCTTTTATTATTACTATAATCTATATGCTTATAGAAATAAAATACAGATAACTTAATTATGATCCCTTTTAGCAGCATGGCCCATCAGTTGAGAAAAAAATTAGAATGAGATAAAAGAAAAATATACTTCATTGAAGAATAAGCAAAACAAAGATAATGTGCAAATTAACTGAAAATTAACACACGAGCCCTGGGGAAACAGAGCTTCCTCAGCAGCCAACTGAGTTGGTGATGGTTTCTCTTCTACTCCTAGGACAAAGATGATACTGGATCCCTACCCATTTTAATGGAAAAGTCTCATTCATTTTCATTCTTAAATGTTTCACTTTTTAATTATTTTTTTATGCAGAGTCTCACTGCGTCTCCCAGGCTGAAGTGGTGGCGTGATCTCGGCTCACTGCAACATCTGCCTCCCAGGTTCAAGTGATTATCTTGCCTCAGCCTTCCAAGCAGCTGGGATTACAGGCACGTGCCACCATGCCTGGCTAATTTTTGAATTTTTAGTAGAGATGGGGTTTCACCATGTTGGCCAGGCTGGTCTCGAACTCCTGACCTCAGGTGATCTGCCCACTTAGGCCTCCCAAAGTGCTGGGATTACAGGCGCGAGCCACCATGCCTGGCCTTCACCATTCTTTTTATTTAAAAAATTATATAAAAATGTGTTTTAAATGAGCTGAACAATTTAGAATATAAATATTTCCAATTCCCCAAATGGGAAAGTGTTAACGTAAGTCCATGAGGTCTCAAATGTTAGCACAAAACGTAAATAAGCCTAAACTCTCAAATATACATGAATCTAATATAGTAGTTTCCCCTCCGTGGGACTCTGACATTGTTACCATTTTTTCTTTTTTCTTTTTTTTTTTGAGACGAAGTTTCGCTCTTGTTGCCCAGGCTGGAGTGCAATGGTGCTATATCAGCTCACTGCAACCTCTACCTCCTGGTTTCAAGCAATTCTCCTGCCTCAGCCTCCCAAGTAGCTGGGATTACAGGCGCCCGCTACCACGCCTGGCTAATTTTTGTATATTTAGTAGAGACAGAGTTTCACCATGTTGACCAGGCTGGTCTTGAACTCCTGACCTCAGGTGATCCACCCGCCTTGGCCTCCCAAAGTACTGGGATCACAAGCATGAGCCACCGCACCCAGCCCTCAATTCCCTTTACAAAGCATTTTTCTTCTTATAGAGCTATTACTTAAGTTTTAAAGCCTTTCAACTATTCTGCTAAAAATTACCTTTAGGAACAAAAAATGATTTTTTTAGTCATCGTTCCTTTTATTGATATCCTCTTTAAATCAAAGGGGAGCTTTTCATAATAAGAGATTTCTTAGAATAGCTTTAAGATTTCCTAACTGTTAAGCCAAACAGCAAGTTTTCTCATCTCTTAAGGAACAAAAGCTACACAGCTCTAACATGCTAGCCTGGAATGTGACTCCAGAGCGAACATATTAATTATACACATATTGTCAGAGACATGGTAATGACAAAACAATCTACAATTCATGGATACATAGGATCTCTGTGCTAACAAAAATAAAAATAAAAAAGATAAGCAAGACCAAATGTGTTGAAAATAAAAGTTATGTAAATGTTATGTGGTGATATATATGATACACGATCATGAAATGGAAACCAAACTGGACAAACAGCCTGCTCAACCATATGTTTAGATGCTAGCTTAAGAAAACGAAATGTGTAATTTCAGAAAATTCACGCAAAAATCAGTTTAAAGTTTACTTATAATTTGCTAGACCTTCTAATAAATATAGTATTTGTTATGAAGCACTGGTGAATTTCCATAATGTTGTATGACAATTGTAAAAGGTTCATGGGAAAAACAAGATTTACAAAGACATACGGTCTCTAATTAGTGTAAATTGGCAAATTTTATTTAAACCTAATGAATCCATAAGACTGGACTGTACTGTCTCAATTATGGAGTCTCATTATAACAGCATCCTTAGGGGTTACATTGTGGCACTACCTAAGAGGTAAAAGTGCTTCAACAGGGCTCTGTAGGCAACTCCATCACAAAACCCCACCGAATAGGATCACCTCCCACCAATCTTTTGCTAAGCACTACTCTCTGGTAAAGAGTACAGAAGTTTCAATGTTTTGATTTTTTTTTTCAGGTTGGCATGATACAAATGGCAGCACACAAAAACAATGTTAAAAAAATAAACCAAATAAAAGGCTGTACACAAGAACTTATGTTTATTGCAAACAAACAAACAAAAAAAAAAGGAAAGAGAAGAAAAGAGAAAATGGTCAGAAGCACAACATATAAGGTTAAGAATTTAAAAGCATCTTACATTCTGCCCTAATGGCAGCATAATTAATAGCAACAAACGGCCGTCTTGCTGCCTGCCGTAGCCGGAGGGTATTTTTGCAGACCTGGCGAGCAAATTTTGTGAAATATGTAGTATGAAGGAAGAAAGCTTGGCGGGTCTTCACTGCAGACTTTGGACTCCCAGTATTTCTAACTGGCATTCCCTGCATGGCCTGGCGGGATACGTGACTTCTAACACGAGGGTCCTGCAAAATCAGAAAACAACAAACACTCAAAGAAATGAACTTGCCCAAACGCATTACTGTTTGCATCACGCTCAAAAGAAAAGTGCAACTTTTAAATCTTTCATGAAGCATCTATAATATCACTTGGTGCACTACCTCTAAAAGAATTAAAGTGTGCACTTTTGGGAAAGAGGTGGGGAATAGAGAAGGGAACTGTGGAGAACACTGTACTATTGTACAGGAATCCATAATAACATTAACAATAGGTAGTAAGAAACTGCCAAGGGGGTTAACTACACTTTTTTTTTTTTTTTTTTTAATTAAGGAGTCCTGAAAGCCTGTCAGCACTGAAAAAGAGTCGTCACCCACTGGTAAACACAGATGGTTGGCATCTTCAATCTATGAGGATTTTACCAAAATCACATTTAAACTGTTGTTCACCTCAAGATTCAGTCCATACTTCTTATCCCTCCAAAATAGTCACAGGGAGAAAAAATGCTCAATTTGCATTTATGACTTTATGTAGTAAGACATGCCTTCAACAGAATGTAAAGGTTACACAAACTGTTTTCAAAAGCAATTAAACATTTAATTTGTAAGCTCTCTACTTATACTAACATCTCCCACATTCATTGTTTTTTTCGTCTGAGACCATTATTCTGAATACCTGATAAAATTTAATTTCTCCCTGCTTCTCTCCACACCTACCCTGAATATTGTAGTGCTATGTTTACCTACAAAGGTAGCTTTCTTCATTTTTAAATTATCCTATACTGTACTTCTGTTTCCAAGGAATAATCAAGCCACTTAAAAACATGACATTTTTCAACACTAAAAAGACTACTGTACCTCTGTAGTTGGGCTAGGAGATAACTTCTCTTCTTCTGACTGGGTGGGCATTTTCAAGCCTCCATATTTTTTCCAATAAAGCCAACAAATTGCACATAATCTACACTGCATATTAGGTGGGCCCCAGGAATACCACTGGTGAGACTGTGTAGCTAAAGCAGAAGAAAAACAAGAAAAATAAGAAAAATGCTATTTAATTTGTAACATCAACACAAAATAATCAAATATTTAAAAAATACTTGTCATGCTTAGTTTACAATTTTATTGTTCCCAGCTTACAAGTCAAACATAATAGTATATTTGTGTTTTTTTAATACTCAGAATTCATTAAACCAACTTATTTCTATCATTATATAAAGTGCTTGTGGCCCTGTTAAAGCTATTAAGTGAAGTATCCTGTATTATGCATTTTGCTGCCGAGGGAGTTTTTGTTTTACTGATTAAAAATACTCTATTGTGTATGTTTCTGGAAATAGGTTCTCAAAAATATACTATTAGTAGTATTTTAAAAATCTGGGGCTGGGTGTGGTGGCTCTCACCTGTAATCCCAGCACTTTGGGAGGCTGAGGCAGGTGGACCACGAGGTCAGGAGATCAAGACTATCCTGGCTAACATGGAAAACCCGTCTCTACTGAAAATCCAAAAAAAATTAGCCGGGCATGGTGGCACGCACCTGTAGTCCTAGTTACTCAGGAGGCTGAGGCAGGAGAACTGCCTGAACCTGGGAGGCAGAGGTTGCAGTGAGCTGAGATCATGCCACTGCACTCCAGCCTGGGCAACAGAGTGAGGCTCCATCTCAAAAGAAAAAAAGAAAAGAAAAAAAAAGAAAAAATATATATATATAAATATAAATCCAGGTTTCCAAACCCAGGGTTGAGACACCACTCCAGGGATTATTTAAGGTACTCGGGGAGGTCCCATTGATAAAGTCAGGAATCTAATAAAAACAGGTATCTGTCAGCCAGGTGTGGTGGTAAACTCCTGTAGTCCCAGCCACTACAGAGGCTGAGGCAGCAGGATTGCTTGAGCCTGGGAGGTTGAGGCCACTGTGATTCCACCACTGCATTCCAGCCTGGGTGACAGAGGGAAATGGGGAGGAGGAGGGGTTTGGGGAGGGGGAGACGGAGGGAGAAGGGGAGGAGAGAAGAAAGAAACAGGTATCTGTTTCACACTACTTTATTTTAATCAATAGGCAAAATCCTTATTTTAAAATCTCCATTTATGGACAGAATCCCTTTCAAGACTCTAAATCCATATGAAGCGAGCATGGGCAGCTGACATCACAGCATGCTTGAGGCCTAAAACTCAGATGATTTAACAGCTAGCTGAACACTGCAAGCTTGTGTTAGTTTTTGTTTTGTAGTTTAAATTACTGACATGTGACATTTAAAATATACACATGATAGATCTGAAGTTTAAGAGAAAACACTGAGGTTGAGATATTAACTGGGTGCATAAAAAATTGCAATTCTGTAGGTCTGCCTTGAAATATTATTTCTCTGACCTGTAAGTTACCTTTATCAGACTGTTCAAATGTTCAAATAGCACATCAAGATATCAACTAACACTTCACAAACCAATGTGAAAAAGAGAAAATACAGAGACCATTATATTCATGTTTATTGGGAATAACACTGTACACCCATCATGTATTATTTTTGGAGGATTATTATTTTAGGCTTTTATTTGTGTAAATATTTTAGGCCTGTTTTAGGCTTTTATTTATACAAATAAATATTTTATACAAATGAAAGCCTAAAAGCCTTTCCTCCTATAATTTAGAACTAATAAGTCATTAAGACACAAATTTTAAAAATCTTAAAACATTAAGCTATGAATCTATTTTGAATTCTAAATATAAAATTTCACTTAAAACATATGTTTTACGTAAACTAATCAATCCATGCACATCATTTTAATAACTGTCAATAAATGCCTTTCTCCTTAAATAACTCAAATTCAATTGGAAAGTAGGTATCATTTAATAAATAGAAAACATCAAGTTCTACCTCTCTATAAGGATAAATCTTATATTAAGATACATTTTATCATGGAGATTAGTAATACATGAGTCTAAAGTAAGTATTATAAAATAAAAATAGCTTACTCATCATGCACACACAAAAATAACAGAATAATCATTTAAGGGGATATACGTGAGTGTGAAAGGGGTTTGCAAGTTATTTATTTATTTATTTATTTTTCTGGAGACGAAGTTTCACTCTGTCACCCAGGTTGGAGTGCAATGGCGCAATCTCAGCTCACTGCAACCTCTGCCTCCCGGGTTCAAGCTATTCTCCTGTCTCAGCCTCCTGAGTAGCTGGGATTACAGGTGCACACCACCATGCCCGGCTAATTTTTTGTATTTTTAGTAGAGATGGGGTTTCATCACATTGGCCAGGCTGGTCTCGAACTCCTGACCTCAGGTGAATCATCTGCCTTGGCTTCGCAAAGTGCTGGGAGCCACAGCGCCCTGCCTGCAAGTTAAAATTAAGCCACTACCATTTGTCTGTAGGATTCTTTTTATTTTCATTTAAATATACACAAACTTCGAAATCCAAGAAATCCCAATTCAAGGTATTTATGATGCTATCCATGTAAAAGCCTGACTAAAGAATTTTTTTCCACAAATTGTTTCCCTTTGTGCTCCCATGGTCAAAAAAATTGTTAAACACATCCCTATGTACCATTTCTATGAATTCAGCAACTTGGCTCACACCTTCCTTGGGATCAGTGGACGTAACTGTACTCATAGCTGTCCCTCATTTCTATGTCCTTCCTGGAGACAGTAGGCTACATGTACTCTCAAAGAGCTACTAAGAACCCAAAATGGGGCACCAAGTAGGTTTTCAGTAAACATTAGTTTCCTTCCCTCTCCCATCCCAGGCTACCTTAACTGGAAGGAAACAGATGATAATATCACCAATGCCCCATTAAGATATCGTATCCTTGCTTGAGATTTAAAAGAAACACATAAAGTTTATCAACTACCTAACAGTTCACTTCACCAACCCCATTTAACACCATGGGCAAATAAAATACTGCCAGCATAGATAAATACAGTGGGATCCTGAGGTCAAAAGCAAGTATCATAGAATAGCATTTCCCAAACTGGTGCGCTGAGGGAACAGCAGCTTATCCACACAGAGGCCTTTCCTACAGAATTACTTGGAGCTTTAATGTGTCAGAGTATACGGAGAAACTCCAAAAGGGGATTTGGTATGCATCGTGGGACCACAGCTTCTGCAAAGCTGATATGACTCTAAACACAACTCAGCAAACACTGCTATGAAATAATCAACAAACCATAAGAGTACATCAAAGGAACTCCAATGCCTAACTTGAGTGTGTGGTATGTAATAAGGATTCAACAAACAGTCCCTCTGTTCCAAGCCAAAGGTAAGGAGGGGCATCTGCTCATTTGGAGGAGACACACTTCTGCTTTCCAAGGTGCACTGTACTGACCTCAGGCAAATCCCAGACGCTCACACCCCATGAGTCGTAACAGTTCCTGATGCTTAACTGACCTGCTGGAGAAAACTTACCATAGCAGCTCTCACAGGCTCTCCCTAAAAGAGGATTCTGAGGCTGGAACGTGGTCCCCACAGCTCCATTCACAGCACCAGGCTTCCCATTACTAGTGGATATTTGGTTGGGATTTGGTTTGCTGCTTTCAATGAAATTAAAATAAGGTGATAAAATGATTTGTACAATAAGGCAAAAAGCTCTATATCATTACTGATTTACCTTCACTATTTAATAAACATAAACAAACATTTTAAAATGTGTGGTGAAGAAGAAATAAACTGGTAAAAGCAAGGTGTTAAAATGAACTCACACTACTCATCTTTATAAAACAAGTCTATGTAAAAAGGAATCGCTTACGCCTGACATTCATGAAGTAAATACTGTCCCATCTCTTTTCTGATCCGAATACAATTTTCTTAAAACATCCTCTGACACTTTTGAAAGAGACAAGTTACCGTTTATAAAGTCTCCCAAGAAAATAATTATTTGGATCAAACAAATTAACTGAAAGGCAACATGGCTGTTGTCACTGTCCAGTTTCTGCTGCTGGTGTGGGGGCTGCTGGCTACTGCACTCCAGCTCTCCAGGGAGATGCACAAAAGCCACACGCTTAGCAGATGCTGCGGGGTCAACAGGGTCCATCTCCAGGTTACTTAGGACTTCAGGAGCTTCTGGCCACTCATGATGACCACTCTTATTACATCTGAAATTTTATAAGGAATATTACATAGCATTTGAAATTTTAAAAACCAGTAAAGGTATTTGGAGGTTTTCCTTTTTAGAGAGTATTTTTTTAAGAGGAGAAAAGAGAGGCGGGAGGATGACTTGAAGCCAGGAGTTCGGAGACCAGCCTGGGCAACACAGTGAGACTCTGTCTCTACAAAAACAAAAACAAACATTACCCAGGCATAGTGGCATGTGCCTGTAGTCCCAGCTATTCAGAAGGCTGGCGTGGGAGCATCAATCACTTGAGCCCAGGAGTTAGAGGCTACAGTGAGCCATGATCATGCCACTGTACTCCACTGCAGCCTGGGCAACAGAGGAAGGCCCTTTCTTTTGGGGAGCAGGGAGGGGAAGAGACATCTACCATAAGTCGATATGCAAATTTCACAAAGACCAAGTCAAAAGAACCATTAATTCCTTAGAAACACGTAGCCCAGATTATCTTGGTATTTCCCAGGCAAACAAGGCTAACTTTTCCCCATGTACGGTAGGCTAACTCTCCCACTGCTTATAAGCTGTGCCCAAGAACACTGCACAGATATACATAGTACGTTCTCAATAAATTCATAATTCCTTTAACGTATTCAGTGCCTAATAAATAAAAGTCTCTGACCTCAAGGTGCTTTCATTCTAAATGACTTTTTGTGTTTATTTGCTAGACAGAAAATAAGCAAAATGAATTAGTAAATTATTTATCGAAAATGAATGCTGAATGGCTAAATGCAGATTATATGCTGTCTTCCCGTATCTACTGACGCAACGAGACCTCACAACTATCAAGACAGCTGAAGTCAAAGTTGACTCAAGGTTTTCCACTTTCCACAATTCCATTCACCTGTTAAAGCCTGGTTTGTAAAGCTGGTCTGGCCTGACAGCAAAGACCCTAAGATTTCCTTTTGGTATTGTTATTACAACTATCAGGTGACACTCCCACCACTGCTACCAGAAGAAATCAGTTAACCACTGTGTGCACTGAGGTCTCTATTCTATAAAATAGGACTATTATTTACACTTCTAACCTGTGTCAGCAATGTATGTTAAAGACAAATTGGTTTGTTTGTTTGTTTGAGACGAAGTCTCGCTCTTGTCACCCAGACTGGAGTGCAATGGTGTGATCCTGGCTCACTGCAGCCTCCACCCCCAGGTTCAAGCGATTCTTCTGCCTCAGCCTCCTGAGTAGCTGGGACTACAGGCACCTGCCACCAATCCCGGCTAATTTTTATATTTTTAGTAGAGACGGTGTTTCACCACGTTGGCCAGGCTGGTCTCAAACTCCTGGCCTCAGGTGATCTGCCCGCCTCAGCCTCTCAAAGTGCTGGGATTACAGGCATGAGCCACCATGCCTGGCCTATTTATTTTTTTTGAGATGGCGTTTTACTCTTTCACCCAGGCTGGAATGAAGTGGCACGATCTCGGCTCACTGCAACCTCCACCCCCCACAGGTTCAAGCAATTCTCCTGCCTCAGCCTCCCAAGTAGTTGGAATTACGGGCTCCCGCCACCATGCTCAGCTAATTTTTGTATTTTTAGTAGAGACGGGGTTTCACCTTGTTGGCCAGGCTGGTCTCAAACTCCTGACCTCAGGTGATCCACCCACCTCGGTCTCTCAAAGTGCTGGGATTACAGGTGTGAGTCACTGTGCCCAGCCAACAAATTGGTTTTTAAAAGACATTTTTCTTTTTTTTGAGGCAGGGTCTCACTTTGTCACCCAGGCTGGTATGTAGTGGTGTGATCACCACTTACTGCAGTGTTGACCTCCTGGGCTCAGGTGATACTCCCACCTCACCCTCCCAAGTAGCTGGGACTGCAGGTGTGTGCCACCATGCCTGGCTCTTTTCTTTTCTTTTTTTTTTTGGTAGATACAGGGACTCTATGTTGCTCAGGCTGGTCTTGAATTTCTGGGTTCAAGGGATCACCCCACCTCAACAGGTGTGAGCCACCATGCCTGACCTTTATTTTATTTTATTTTATTTTTGAGGCAGGGTCACCCAGACTGGAGTGCAGTGACATTACCATGGCTCACTGCAGCCTCAACCTCTCAGGCTCAGGTGATCCTCCCACCTTAGCCTCCCAAGTAGCTGGGACTACTGTCACACACCACCATGCCTGGTTATAAAATAGATTTTTTAAAATGTATTATTTATTATCTGTCTATCTACTTAATTTTTTTAGAGACAGGATCTCACTCTGTTGCCCAGACTACAGTGACATGATCACAACTCACTGCAGCATCAAACCCCTGGGCTCAAACAATCCCCCCACCTCAGCCTTCCAAGTAACTGGGCCTACAGGCATTTGCCTCCATGTCTGGGTAATTTTAAAATTTTTTTGTAGAGATGAGGTCTCACTACTTTGTGCAGACTGATCTCAAACTCGTGGCCTCAAGCGATCTTCCTGCCTTAGCCTCCCAACCTGTTGGGTTTACAGGCATGAGCCACTGTACCTGGCCCTAAAACATATTAACATATTTTAAATCAGATAGAAGGTGTTTCTCTTCTTATAGTTTTCAGGTGAAACTACACTAAGTGAAAAGTGGCGATTTAGAATGACTAGCATTTTCAATAATATACAATATTCCTTTTTTTTTAAATCTACTATATATAGATAGAACTGATTTCCCCTTAGGGTCAAATGACTGGACAGAGGTTTCCCAGAAATATGAAAATTTCTGATATTTAACCCAGGGCTAAATATGTGTGTTGAAAAAGAGCTAACACAAATGTACAGTTAAGCTGCCTTAAAAAAGAATGAGAGCAAAGTTCATTGCTCAACTGAATCTAGAACGTTATTTGATTGAATACATCACTTGTCTTAATGATAATCACAAAAGGAAAACAAGGTGCCAAGACTGCATACAGACATGTGAATCACAAAAAATATGCTCTGCAAAACCAGGTACCTACAGATTAATTCCCAGGGGACAAATGATTGAGGTCATTGTGACAATCTGTGACTGTAAGCAAACATTTTTAACGTTTTAAAAGACACATTATATGAAATTGCCCTTTCTTTTATCTAATGCTCAAATCTCCCCTCACTCCCCTCATCTGTGTTCCAGATTCCAGCCCTCCTGCCCTCTAGAGAACACTGTACACTCGCTCTCTCATCTGCTTGTACCTCCTTGGCTCATATGCAGCAGTGCTCACCATGCCAATAAGATCACCAATGATCTCCATGTTATTAAATTCCTTGGCTATTTCCCACCAGCATCCAACACTGTTAAATCTCTTTCCCCCTCCTTGAAACATACTCCTCTTTTAGCTTCTGTGATACCATACTCACCTAGCTATCCTTGTTTAGCTTATCATATTCTATCTGATCTATAAATACTGGATTTATTCAAGGCTAAGTCAAGGCCCTTTTCTTATTGCTCTCCCTCAGAAATCTTATCTATGGTTTCAAATATAATTATTGTATGCTGATGAAGCTCAAATATGTATCTCTAGTCCAGACTTTTCCACACTGAGTTTAAGACCAATACATCCAGTATTTGGTGACAGCATATTGAACAACTCTTTTCCGATAAACTCAGAATGACCTAACCTGATTCTCTGCCAGTTTCTGAGCTTAACAAATAGCATGGTAACCCACTTTACTGTGCCAGAAACCTAGGATTCACACTAGACACCCCCTACCTGCCATAAAAGTCAGCCACCTCCAAATATCACACCATTTCCAGAGCTACTACTCCAGGTCAAGCTAGTGTTATCTTTCCTCTCCAAGAACTTCATAACTAGTCCCCCTGCATCTACTCTTAGTCCTCTTCTTCAAACCATTTCCCAACATATAGCAGGTGATCTTAAAGTGCTAACCTGACCATGACTCTTCATTGTTTAAAATCAATTTTCACTATTCATGAGAACTCCCAGGTAACATAGGGAGACACTGTCTCTACAAAAAAATCAATTAGTCGGGTGTGGTGGTGCATGCCTGTAGTCCCAGCTACTTGGGGGTGCTGAGGTGGGAGGATCACTTGAGCCTGGGAGGTTGATGCTGCCGTGAGCCATGATTGCACCGTTGCACTTAAATCAAGGTGACAGAGCAAGACGACCCCATCTCACAAAACAAAACAAAAATAAAGCAAAATTTTATTCACAAAAACAAGCAGTAGGTCAGATTTGGCTTCAGACTATAGTTTATTGATCCCTGACTTAGATTACATTGACTCCAAGGTCAAAGTAAAGCCAAATGGAAACAATTATCTGGGTTACTTGGTCAAAACTAGTTAAATGTATTATTTCAAGGTGGCAGCACTTTGAAGTATAAGAAAGCTGGTATGCTTGCTTTTGAAAATCTAAGACACACGAGTATTTTATTTGAGGAGTGGCTCTTTTATAAATTCATCATATAAAATATATGATTTAGAAGGAATTAGAAAACCACTCTGCAGATGGGCTATTACAATTCTTAATAAAAATTACAGACTCTAAAAATTACATGTTCTTAAAATCAAACCAGAGTTATCTGCCTTGAGGTAAAAGATCAATATGAAAGATCACCACTCATTGTCTATGAGGCCTCCTATATGTATATAAAAACATGTATTATACAAAATATCAAAATTCTGGAAACAAAAGGCTAGTTATTAAGCAACTGTAAATAGGTTGAAGAGGGAGAAAAGGCTTGGAGCAGCACATAGAATTGTGCAATAAATTTCATTTTAATCCTAAAAGAATCTAGGATAGAACAATATACACGTGGTGCTTCATAAACCAATTCTTCCTGAACAAATGAATAAGCAAACTGAAAATCTCAACAGAAGAATACAGCAATTTATATTTCTTTTAAATTTTTTGCAGAAACGAGGTCCCCCAAAGTGGTGGGATTATAGGCATGAGCTACCACGCCCAGCCTCATTTAAAACAAAGCAAATGGAAAAAAAAATGGCATTCATTTTGGGACGACAATGATTTCTGAATTCAAAGTATAATAATGATAGAACACTAGACACACAAAAAAATAAAAACCTCTCCATTATTTATCACACATTTACCAAGTATGGTTCTAATTGCCATTAGAACCAAGAAAACAATGTAAAAATCCTCAAATAAACAACAAACCTCCGAAGAGCAGTATGCATTACCCAAACAAAATCTATAGTTTGAAAAGCTGCTAGCTTTCTGAAACACATTTGCTTCAAATAATACAGCGTTTCATAGGTTTTCTGACACTTTCCCTGCAGCTTTGATTTGATGAAAGTATAGTATATAGTACATTTCTTCCTCTATTCTTTAGGTTAGACTATTTCAGGTTTCTCTCACTGGTTCCTTTTTATTGTACTGGTATAATAGTAAGTCTCATGCTTTGTAGAAGAAGGAAGATACACAAAAGTTCAAATTTTGCTGAAATTGAACAAAATGACATATTCTGCAATGACAAAATTAAGACCATAACAAATATTTTAAAAGATTTCAATTACTTACTAAGTTGGGATATATACTTGTTTCAGTTTACTCTCAGCTTCTGCTGCTTTTAGACGTTTCTAATTCAAAAGATGAATAAAACATTTTACATGCAATGCCTAATTATTACTATTGTTCATTGTCTTAAAAATTCACAAGAAAATATGTATTAAAGTGTAATTCAAAAATTACAATTTTAAGATAAGCTTTTCTTTCATATGCATATTCTTAAACTGCAATAATGTCTAAGAAAAGTCACTAGGTTCTGTGGTACAATACCATTTTAGGCATAGATTTTAAAAAATAAAGCAATGAGCAACTCCATTTTCCATTCCTCTATGAGTGAATAAACAGGAACTTTAAAAAGTAACCATTTTTACTTTTCAAATTTAGTTTCTACTTTACTACTTATCTGCCTTTCTAGAAGAAAACACACACACATACTCTCTCTCTCTTTCTGCTTTTAGAAAAATATTCAGAGATTATTTGTTTTCAAAATCCAGGCAAGAGGAGTGACTGTGGCTATTCTAAGTAGAACTAAATAAACATTTATTCTCAAATGTTGGGAGATACGCATTAAACTTTAAACCTCAGCTGAACTTATTTTACTGGAAACAATTAGGAGCCACATGTAGGGAAAGGAATGGGAAGGAGATTATATAATCAAATCCAGACACTGACCAACATGATAGTGTAGGCAAATAGAGAAGCAAAATAACATATGGTTGATGTCCAAAAATTAGACAAACCAGAATATAAGGCTATCTTCTATTTTCCCAATGAGGAGAAAACAGAAATACTTAGGGGGACAACTTGAAACTTTTAGAACAGGGTTGAAATTTTTGGAAAGAATATTATCTACTTTTCAACCATCCTTGATACCATCATCTCCATCTTTAGAGACTCTTTTTTCATTTAATAACACAGGTTTCCAGACTACATGGTCTTGATCTATACCTAAGTTGTTCATAATAAGCACTTTCTGAATTATATTATATTTTTCAACAAGCCTTGGGTATCTATTCACTATTCGTGACCTCAACAATTCACCATGGTACTTTTTGTTTTCAATTTTTCATTTATTTTTAGAGACGGGGTCTTGTTATGTTGCCCAGGCTGGACATGAACTCCTGGGCTGAGCAATCCTCCTGTCTTGGTCTCCCAAAATGCTGGGAATATAGGTGCACACCACCACACCCAGCTCACTATGATATTTTAAAAGTGAGTCATACAATTTTTTTATAGCATCTAATACTTGCCACTGTATAACCTACATATATAGGAAAAATAACGTCTGTGTTAAATATATTTGCTTCTTTATCAGTTCTAATATGTGCCTATACAAATATAACACAAGTATTGGCTGATGTCACTTTGGGAAAATGTACCATTCCCCAGAAGTAATATTATTTTAAAAATAAGTAATTGAGAGTTACCTGAATTTAGGATATTTGAGAAGGACTCAAAAATTAAATTAAAGAAAAAGTTTATGTACAGTACCAAAACACCACACTAGTAAGACTACTACAGTTATGGTCAAGGATTTCGGGGGTATAGCCACACAAATGTCATGTAAAGAAGTTTCAGAAGATCTTTAAAAATATATCTAATTATATGGCTGATGACATTGGTCTAAATTCTCAATTCTTCATAAAAATAACTTGTTCAAGGTTTGTGTTAGCATCACATCTTTGATCAGTGCCATGAACTACAAAGAGATGAAGTACCAGTCAAATGCAAGAAAAATAACGCCCCTCTAGTGGTATCTCTCCAAAATATTTATCGTAATTCATGCTGAAATCAAGGAAATATTAAGATTAAAATCTTAAATAATATCCTAAAGATATGAAATCGTATAGTTTAAAGTAGTCTGGAAAAACTAAGGTAAACAAATTTAAAATTAGTACATTGCTAAAAAATATTAAAATATAAACAAAGTTAATTTTAATGCAACCACATTGGTAGCAATAGGAAAAAAATTACCTGTTGCACATATCTGTCAGTAGTTTTCCACATGTAATAATATTCAATGATGCTAGTCAATGATTTCCAAGGAAGCTGAAAAAAAAAATCAATATATCATCTATGTTAACATGCAATAAAATGAGATGAAAATAAGCTACTATAGAAAGTACTTTCCTTTAAAAACCACTTTTTTTTTTTTTTTTTTGAGACAGACTGTCACTTTGTTGCCCAGGTAGTGCAGTGGCCCAATCTCAGCTCACAGCAACCTCCGCTTCCTGGGTTCAGGCAATTCTGCCTCAGCCTCCCAAGTAGCTGGGATTAGAAAGAAGCACATGCCACCATGCCCGGCTAATTTTTTGTATTTTTAGTAGATTCAAGGTTTCACCATGTTGGCCAGGCTGGTCTCCAACTCCTAACCTCAGGTGATCTGCCTACCTCGGCCTCCCAAAGTGCTGGGATTACAGGTGCGAGCCATCACACCTGATCCTTAAAAACCACTTCTTTAAAATAATGAAGCAAATATCCATATGGAAGATTCATTCTAGAATATTTGAGAAATTTAAAATTAATCCTTAGGAAACGGTACCCCAAACAAGTCATATTCAGTAAGAGACTCTAACACAATACATTCCATTTCTCATTCCATTTATAAATTTTACTAAAAAATATAAACATCATAACTGATAACATTTCTTTCTCTTTTTATTTAAGAGACAGGGTCACCCAGGCTGCAGTGCAGTGGCATGATCATAGCTCATTGCAGTCTCAACCTCCCAGGGTCTAGTGGTCCTCCTGCCTCAGCCTCCTCAGCTGGGACTATAGGTGTGACACCATGCCCGGCTAATTTTTTATTATTTTCTGTAGAGTTGGGGGTCTCCCTATGTTGCCCAGGCTGGTCTCGAACTCCTAGGCTCAAGCAATCCTTCCATCTCAGCCTCCCAAAGTCCTAGGATCACAGATGAGCCACCGTGACCAGCCCTAATAACATTTCATGACTTACTCAGGAAAGTTCTCAAGCTACAGGTGAGGCTGCAGCACTATTTTAGAAACGGTATTTAAATAGCTTTAGCCTGAGTTACTTCAGCTTCCAAAGATGGCAGCTATGACTGTGTGTCATTTGGTCTCTGCATATCCTTGAAAGAAGCATTGAGGAGGGTAGGAGAGACAGTCTTTCTTTTTTTTTTTTTTTTTTTTTTTGGCGTTTCACTTTGTCGCCCAGGCTGGAGTATAGGGGCACGATATCGGCTCACTGCAAGCTCTGCCTCCCAGGTTCACACCATTCTCCTGCCTCAGCCTCCCAAGCAGCTGGGACTACAGGCGCCCGCCAACCCGCCCCGCTAATTTTTTTGTTTTTTAGTAGAGACAGGGTTTCACCATGTTAGCCAGGATGGTCTCGATCTCCTGACCTCGTGATCTGCCCGCCTCGGCCTCCCAAAGTGCTGGGATTACAGGCGTGAGTCACTGCACCCTGCTGAAAGAAGTGATGAGGAGGGCAGGACAGACAGTCTTGAATCGCTGATGCCACCCCCCTCCCATCCCCTGGCAGAGGCCTTGCAGTGCCAGAGTCTGTGCATATGGGGGAAGAACATCACAGTGACTAGGGGACTTTACATTGAACTTAGTGCTGCCCTGTGACAGCAGAGAATAAACCCATGCTGGGGTCAGCCAGTACCTATGCAAGGAGGGAGAATCTGTACCAGACCTAGCCAGAAGATAATCACCCATCCCATAGGTTGGAACTTGAGTTTCTCAACAAGCCTGGTGACCATGGGCTGAAGTGCTCTGAGGACCTAGGTAAACTTGGAAGACAGTCTAGCTACACAAGGACTTCAACTCCTAAACAATTCCTAGGGCTGGGCTGGACTCAGAGCCAGAGGACTTAGGGTGGCACGTGACCTAGGGAGACACCCAGGGTGGCTAAAGGAGTGATTGCACCACCTCTCCCCCAAACCCAGGCAGTACAGCTCAGGGGCAAAAACATCTCCTTCCTTCTGCTTAAGCGATGGAAAGTGAAGAGTAAAGAGGACTTTGTCTTGCATCTTGGATACCTGCTCAGCCGCAGCAGGATAGGGCCCCAGGCAGAGTCGTGAGGCCTCCATTGCAGGTCCTAGCTCCTAGACACGTTTCTAGACACCATCTGGACAAAACGGAACCTGCCGCCTTAAAGGAAGGACCCAGTCCCTGCAAGATTCATCAGCTGCTGACTAAAGAGCCCATGGGCCCCGAGTAACCAGCAGCAATGCCCAGGTAGTACACCATGGGCCTTGGGCTCTGAGATGTGCTGACTACAGGTGCGACCCAGCACATTCCCAGCTATAGGTGGCTATGGTAAAAGGCTTCTTCTGTTTAAGAAGATAGACAAGTAAAGGGATGTTGTTGTTTTGCACCTTAGGTACCGCTCAGCCACAGTGGGGTAGAGGAATAAGCAGGCTCTTGGGGTCCCCAGAGAAATGAGGTTCAGGCCTCAGCTCCTCAACCGCATTTCTGGACCTGTCTTGGGCCAGAGAGAAGCCCAGTTCCCTGAAGGGTGATCCCAGGCCAGGCAGCATTCCCCACCAGCTGACTGAAATGAAGAGCCCTTGGGCTTTAAGTGTACACTGGAGGTGGCCTGGCAGAACTACCCCCCACCCCCAATCGTGGCTGGGTGGTGGTGTCCACAGGGAGGCCCCTCTGCCTGTGGAAAGGGGAAGGAAAAGCAGGATTGATTTTATATTGTGGTTTGAGTCCCAGCTTAGTCACAGTAGAACAGAACATCAGATAAATTTCTAAGGTTTCTGACTCCAATCTCTGGTTCTCAGACAGCATCTCTGGACTCACCGGGGCTTGGAGGAACTCACTGTCCTGAAGGGAAGGACACAAACCTGTCTCACTTTGGCACCTGCTGATAGTAGAGCCCTAGGGCCTTGAGTTAGCATAGGTGGTAGCAAGTGAGCAGTTATGGCAGGCATGACCCAGCACAGTCCCAGTGGTGGTAGCCACAAGAGTGCCTGCATCACCACACCCCAGTTCCAGGTAGCTCAGGGGAGCGGGGGGGAGGGGGAGTGGGGGAGGGGGGAGGGGAGGGGATGGGGAGTGGGGGAGGGGGGAGGGGAGGGGATGGGGGTGGGGGAGGGGAGGGGATGGAGGAGTGGGGGAGGGGAGGGGCGAGTGGGGGAGGGGGAGAGGGAGAGGGAGAGACACTGTTTCTTTGAGAGAAAGGGAAAAGAACAAGAGTCTGTATGGTAATCCAGAGAATTCTGGATCTAATCCGAGACCACCAAGCGAGTACTTTGCGTCTGCAAAAACCACAGTGATATTGGGCTTGGGGCCCAAGTCCTTTAGAAAGTCTTTTTAAGAAGGATGGACACAAACAAGCCCAGACTGTGAAGACTACAATAAATACCTAACTTTTCAATGCTCAAACACTAACGAACATCTACAAGCATCAAGATCATCCGGGAAAACATGACCTCACCAAACAAACTAAATAAGTCAGGAGGGACCAATGCTGGAAAAACAGAGACATGTGACCTTTCAGATAGAGAATTCAAAATAGCTGGCTGGGCACAGTGGCTCATGCCTGTAATCCCAGCACTTTGGGAGGCCACAGCAGGAGGATCACATAAGGCCAGGAGTTCGAGACCAGCCTGGTCAATGTGGCGAAACCCTGTCTCTACTAAAAATACAAAAAAAATTAGCCAGGCATAGTGATGCATGTCTATAATCGCAGCTACTTGGGAGGCTGAGGCACGAGAATTGCTTGAACCCGGGAGGCAGAGGTTGCAGTGAGCCAAGATCATGCCATTGCACTCCAGCCTGGGTAACAGAACAGGACTCTCTCTGTCTCCAAAAAAAAAAAAGAATTCAAGATAGCCGTTTTGAGGAAACTCAAAGAAATTCAAGATAACAGAGAGAAGGAATTCAGAATTCTGTCAGACAAATTTAACAAAGAGATTGAAATAAAAAGAATCAAGCAGAAATTCTTGAGTTAAAAATGCAATTAACATGCTGAAAAAATGCATCAGAGTCATTTAATAGTGGAACTAATTAAGCAGAAGAAAGAATTATTGAGCCTGAAGACAGGTTATTCGAAAATACCCACTCAGAGGAGAGAAAAAAGCAAAGAATAAAACCAATGAAGCCCGCCTACAGGATCTAGAAAATAAGCCTTGAAAGAGCAAATCTAAGAGTTACTGGCCTTAAAGAAGAGGTAGAGAAAGAGAGGCAAGAAGATTATTCAAAGGGATAATATCAGAGAACTTCCCAAACCTGGAGAAAAATATCAACATCAATATTCAATAAGGTTATAATCAAACTCCCAAAGGTCAAAGATAAGGAAAGAACCTCAAAAGCAACAAGACAGCAAAAACAAGTAACTTATAACAGAGCTCCTATACGTTTGGCAGCAGACTTCTCAATGGAAACCTTACAGGCCAGGAGAGAGTGGCATGACATATTTAAAGTGCTGAAGGAAAAGACCTTTACCCAAGAATAGTATATCCAGTGAAAATATCCTTCAAACGTGATGGAGAAATAAAGACTTCCTGACAAACAAAAGCTGAAGGATTTCATCAACACTAGACCTGTCCAATTAGAAATACTAAAGGGAGTTCTTTCATCAGAAAAAAAACCAGATGTCGGTGAGCAAAAGGAAATCATCTGACGGTACAAAACCCACTGGTAATAGTAAGTACACAGAAAAACACATCGAGTATTGTAACACTGTAATTGTGGTATGTAAACTACACTTAAGTCTTAAGTAGAAAGCCTGAATGATGAACCAATCAAAAATAATAACTACAACTTTCCAAGACATAGTACAATAAGACACAGAATCAACAAAAAGTTAAAAAGAGGAATGAAGTTAAAATGCAGTTTTCTAACTATTAGGTTTCAGTGCGTGTGTGTGTGTGTGTGTGTGTGAGATGTTCCAAGAGGTGATTATTACATATTGCACACCTGTATCAAAATATTTCATAGGCTGTGGTGTCGTGGCTCATGCCTGTAATCCTAGCACTTTGGGAGGCTGAGGCAGGCAGATCACAAGGTCAGGAGATCGAGCCCATCCTGGCCAACATGGTGAAACCCGGTCTCTACTAAAAATACAAAAATTA